TGAAATGAATACGGCGAACAATTTTAATGTAGTACACACACTTCTAATCAGAATCGTTCTACTTTCGCCACAGCCATGGTTAAAACCCAAGGCCTCCGCAGACCGTCGTGATTGTAGAACTTCATTCATCCTTTTGAAGTTTGCAAACACAACGAATGCACCTCACAAGACATAACGCTACTTATTGCCCATTAGTATCAGGAGTTTTCGCATCCACATTTAGTTCTGTTCGGAACAGGTCTGTGGAAAACACATCTCATCTTCCAATGGACATTCCAAGAAAACAAGGTATTGCGCACAAACATACATTGAAGTTACTACAACGAGTGGGATCGGTCAGAAACAGTTTCGAATTCGTTCGCCATCTCCTTTCTAGCGTTAAGGCGCTTCCGATGGGGAAAGAAGGTTGTCATCACCCAAAGTACGATGATTACCACACTTCTCTATTACCATCATTGGCCATCTACAGAAGCGGTCGTAGTACCACTGGAAAACCGTTCAGAAGTTGATTAAGTTGAAACGCAGCACAGCTCAGTCACCAACGTTGAATTTCCAGAACACTGCACCATTGTAGTGCTATCAAGAGGTGTCAAGAGTTCAACAATCATCATTAGCTGCGTCGTGGAAGCACCGGCAACGTCAACACACATAAATGTGCACGGAACGTTCCAGAATACAAGCGGAGTGCCACTACCGGCATGCTTGCATTCAACTATGCATCGTCCGTTAAGTTTTTCTTACCTACCACACGACCGCCCACGGCACGAAAGCAGCTCGTGGAGGAGATACTGGAGGTAGCAAGATCAACACACTTGCCAAGGTACTTTTACAGAGCGACTCCTTGGTGGGGGAGTTCATGTAGCACAAACCATTTGTTTGCGAATTGCTGCCTGGGTCTTAACAACTGGGGCTCGAAACTCAATCAGAATTAAATGCTACTGAAGGTGTTAAGTCTGAAGCTCAATTCAAACTAATCCTATTGTGTTATAAACTTATAAAGCCGAAGTTAGTTTGGAAAACATAGCAATCGCGCCGCTGGTGTGAACCAGCTGCCGGCTAACTGCGCAAAGATCAACACCACTTCCAGGGAATTCTCATTTAGCATTGCTTTCATCATAGAATCTTCGTTACTACCGGAAGCGATCATTCATCCTCTGCCATCTTCTCTGCCACCATTTGGATCTGAAGATTCGCATGACAGCACACACAGGGTTTCCTCGTACACAACCCGACATGCAAGCAGCAAACTACAGCCGACATCCCGCTTCCGCCCGCAATCCAAGTCAAATGAACTCTCCTTACCTTCTTCAATACGCGCGCCTTTCTTGTTTCCTTGTCAAGCTTGACGTTGCGCACGTACTGCGACTTTGCAGTTTTGATCATGGCTCCCTGGCGAACTCTCTTGACTTCCCTTGCCTCCTTCTTTACGGGATCTGGGTTGGCGCGGATCTTTTGGAACGCTTCCTGGTACATCTTCTCAATGCTATCGGCGTCTACTTTATTGCGGATGTATGCAGAGAATTGAGATTGATATCGTTCTGGGTCCTCCTCCTTGAGGGTGCGCATATACTCGGCGACATGAAGCCCGTAAATCCGCGAGCGGTGGACTTCAGGATTGTATGAGTCCTCAGCGCCGTCCTCACCTTTGGTGAAGCCAGGGAATCGTTTGTTGCTGTGGGGGATGTGAAGACCGCCGTCACAGGCCCCTTTCATGGCACCGAAAACCCGATTACCTGAAATAACAATGAAAAAAAGCCAACATTTTCAAGCCAGCTGTTTATCAGGGACTACAAAAGCTAACACCATGCGAACGAAGCGCCTGGAAAACACATTATAAGAAGCATGACGCACCAACGGTAGTAGAAACAATCCCTACATCCAGCACGCATTTGAAGGGGCGACGCTCCTCGGACGTCTCCTCAATGTGGAACTCCTCGCCGTTGGGCTTTTCAACACCAACGAATTCATCGGCCAATCCCTTCTGAAGCAACCAGTAAACAGTATCACACGCATCTGGGGAAAATGATCCCGCCGGCCATCCCTTGACCGCTGCAGCAGCATGCACGGTACAGAACTTGCCTGCTTCAGAAGCCTCCGAGCAAGAAGTAAACCAGTTGCATATGCCGCCGAGTAGTTGGTCAGTCCAACCTTAATCCCGTAGCGAGTAAGCTCCTTAGAATCTGCGCTGCATACTAGCCGGTCCCCTTGCATCGTGGCGTACATCACTTGGCAGAGCACACGCGTGTTGGTCACGCGCACAACGAAGCGATACTTAGGGGCATTGTACTTGTTCTTATCCTGAAGTGTCAAACGCCTCCGCGCAGCATAGTCCGTCTTCCCCTCTGCAATACAGATACACACAGGGCATCCATGCCGAAATAAGCGGGGCGTCTATAGGTCGTAACACAGCTCTGCAGTCGGAAACGAGTTTGTTGGCGTAGACAGGTCGGCGCTCATCTACAAAATGGTCAGAAACCATCACTTCCGATCGAGCGTCGGTTTAAGTCGCCAAAGACTTTTTGCCGAAGGAATTGACTGCACCCGCAGGATTAAGCGCAACGAGCAAGCTCGTCGACACTTTGGAAGCCATGCGTGCGCCATTTCCTTCGGAAACCATCTGCATGTAGCCATAGTTTCACCGCGAATATATGCAATCCACAACAATCTAGACCAGGGCAGGACAACAAGGACAACCTTTCCAGAGAGGCCACAACCGAGAAACGGACCACAGATTCGTCCGCGTAAGTTCGTACACGAACGTACGCATCCCACTCCACAACTGGTACTCAAGAAATGAAGAAAACACAAAAAATTACGGAGTTCGCACATAGGAGCGTTCAGCACGAAGGAACACTTCCCGCTGCCGCCTCCCCACAACGGACGCCGTCAAGGGCATGCTGCCGATGGAACACGCTTGAAGCGAAAATATAACACAACATCTCATCAGAATGATATACAATAAAATATGCTCTTTACATGGATATATTAGCACATATGCACATACCACTACATGGGAGTGAATACTCCGTGTTAACACAGCAGCTGCCGCGTACCTCTGCGCCGGCGGTACTTGACCTGGAAGCGCTTGAAGTAGGCTTTGTTCTTTATTGCCTTGACGAATGCCATCTTCCCGAACCGAAGCTTCCAAACGGCAACAAAGTGCGCTGTGGGCAGACACGCTAAGCAGCATAAGAGTCACGATGCAAGCCTAGGACTTGACGGAGTGGCTGGTGCTCCGTTGCCCCGTCGTCCCTGCCCAGCCCCACCAGCTGCAGCCCCCGTAGAAGGGTGACAGAGCGAGATAGAGAGAGAGCAATTCTATGTCAAAACATAGTGTAATATCCTCTAGGAAGCCCTAGTATGTTTCAAGTATTCTAAACAGTTGCAGCCCCTCCAATGTAGTCCAAACTAGTGGAAGGAGTGATTACAAGCACTCGAGTGATGCAATATGCTTGCTTGTGGTCTGCAAAAGGTGGTTGGCAAACTTTCTTTTTGCCTACCAAAATGTAACATATATTCTGTTACGAGCATGCTCCTCACGCCAGAATTCATATACAGCTTTCAGCTCCAGGCATGGCGCAGAGGCATGAACCACACTGTAACCCAAGCGTCTCGGGGGACTTGAATTTTACCAGAGGGCCATTCTAATCCACAGTAGAGGCAAAATGCCGAGAATAAGCGTTCGTTAGAAACAACTGGCACGCCCATTCTGTCATCAGAGGTCGTGAGGCCAGCGGCCCAAACGCATGGAATGGCCCCAGTGGCCTTACGAGCGTTGGATCCCGCCTAGCGGAAGCTGAAGCTGGGTTGTTGCAACAGAGCCAAATCCACACACACAAGCAAGCCTTCTTGGTTGTATGCACAGACACTATTAATACTCTCTAACCGCGTTCGTCTGTGTACCGTTCGTAACCATTCACCTGCCCTCGTCGAGGAGGCGTGTTAACAACACACAGTCTTTGCTATATCATTAACTTTGCTTAGCTTTAATGGTACAACGAATCACCCAAATATCATCTTGCGTTACCCGCAATACTGCAATAACGTCATTTTGAGAAGCCACGACTGTGGGTAAGGGATATTCACAGCTCTCTTTACCCGTTACCACAAACAAATACGGGAAGCACGTATGGGTTTGAGGATTGTTACTGCTAACCGATTCGTCTGAAACATCTAAAGCAAATACTCCATATCCTGCCCTTCTAAGACAACATTCGATGTCTTTTTTCAAACAACTGTTCGGAGCAGAGGCAGCAAGGAAGTAAATATCTTAGCCTAAAATATAATTGTTGATAGCAAATGCAGCAAGGAAGCAGATGGGAGTGTACAGTTAAGACTACTGGGGTATGTAATCCCGTTCGCTACATTAACTTTCGTATCTCAGTGTCAGTACTATTTGAGTAGAATGCCTTCGAAGGAAGCAGAGAAGTAAATTGTTGATTTTGTGTGATGCTTTCTCACGCCCTGTTCCAGTCCTTTACTACCCGATCTATGAAGTGTCTGGGCCCCTCACATGAACTCGCATGAACTACTCCTGGGCATTTATTTTTCGAATGACCTTCCCATGGAGATCCAAGCTGTGGAAAGCTCGACGACCGCTGTTCTGCGTGCTTCAATGAGTGAGCTCGAGCGTCATCGGGCTCTAAAGTTCGTAGATTCCCATCCATTAACTGTCCCAGGCAGGCTAGAGACTGAGTTCCCCGTAGATGACTGCAAAATATCTTGAGTGATCAGGTACACGGAGAAAGGGGCTTGGTTGCGAGCTTGCTCGAACCAAGCCCGTTTCTCGGTGTGGCTGAGCAGTCAAGATACTTTCCAGTTGTATACGTGGAACTCAAAAGCCAGCCTCCAAGCAAGTTTATTGCTCGTTTCAACTTCATCGATAGCATTCTGCACCAGTTAGATTCCAGGTCTTGTTAATAGGCACCCACCCACACAGGATGCGCAGGCGCTCCTATCCATGCACTACTGCCGTCGACATGGCTCTGCTGAACTCCGGCTACGCTTGGTCTTAACAAATTTAACGAGGGTAACCGTTTAGTAAAAAGCACCTGATCTACCAATCTCAAGGGGTCCTGTGAGTAGGATTCCAAGCTAATGGATCTACGGTAGAGTGGGCAACCTCTCGATACTTCCGGCGCACCTTGCTTGAGGCTTCCCAACAAGGCATCGCCACGTGCAAGCACATCCAGGTATTCTTTGTTGCATTCAATATCTAGTTATGGACTCGTCAACGACTTGAGTCCAGGCTTTCTTCTTCGACGCATATCGCCTACTAAAGCCGAGAGAGTGTTCACCCGCCAGCTGGGAACGCCCTCTGCTGCAACGAATGTGCCGGAACCTAGACGAGAGCATCGGGGGGCCCCAACTGCCTTATAGGGCAGTTGACACACGATATATAATGCATGAGCAGGGTGCAATGAATATACTAGCAAGGCTGACAAACCAATCCACACACTGCAGCGGGACAGCCTATAAAAAATCCCGTATCCCCCACCTGACACTCTGGTATCACTCTGGATGCACACAGGTTATACAAAACAAAACTATTCATGGGACTACCTAAAGATATCATGCAAGGAGGAGGATAAACTGGGTGGCACACTCAAAATGCTGATCCAGCCCCGGGCGTAGGCCGCGGCACGATTGTCGCTCCCCATCAGTTTTTCGGCAGTGTTTAACTGCACAGTATTTAGCTACCCGGGGAATCTTCTAGGTTTAGTTATTAAGCACCTATACGAAATGCCAACTGAACCCGTTTCCTGAAGTACTGCCGTACATGCCTTCTTCTTGGTTAGGGGTTGCCCCAACCTAGCTGTAGCGGTTCTTCTGCTCTTTAGAGAGCACCATAAGCCCTTTTCACATTCTTTTTCAGTCTATTTTTACCGTTTGAAGGAGGAAGACACCATGATACTTCTAGCTGGAGCACAGAAATCGGGTTCTCTCGTTTGCCGCATGGCTGTTCGGCTCCAGATGGCCTGGAATTCCTTGCTGCTCTCGCCGTCAGCCACAAGAGCAAGTGTAACAGCTTCTGCTTCCTCTTTTCGATCCGCCCAAGGTCGCTTGCAGAACAGCAGCAACTGCTGCGGCATCACCAGGAAGTGCAGCAAGAAAAGGGACCAAAGCAACGGCGGCGTCTGTATCCACTCCCAGCCCAACACACGAGGGGATGCAGCCTTGACCGCTGCTGCAGTAGGTATCTCGGTTTGCGCCCTTGGCTGGCAGGACAGAAGGGACAGCAGTAGCACCGCCAGCAGCACTTTTGCTTATTGCGCTACGCGTCCGACCCCTAGAGGATCTCATGTATACGCGTGGGGCTCCAACATCGACGGACAGGTGGGTGTTGGCTCAGCTCTTTCTGTTACCCTCCCTGCTGTGCTGTCTTCCCTACATCTGAGGCCAGACGAAAGTGTCATCAGCGTTTCAGGGGGGCCTCGCCATTCTGCTTGCGTGACATCGGAGGGCCGGGTTTTTTCATGGGGCAGAGGAGCTGAAGGAGACTACGGGGGGCCATCGACTGCTGATGGCCCCAAGGAGATCCTGATGCCTCTACAGAAGGGAGACCGACCTGTTTCGGTGTCTTGTGGCAACGGCTTCTCTCTCGTAGTTACGCAGATGGGGTGTCTGTACACTTGGGGAAGCAACAGCCATGGCCAGTGCGGTCGCCCCCCCCACGATGCTCTTCCTGGGGAGCAGGAGTTCGGGGCCAACGTAAATAATTCTTCATTTGGGGGTTTTGGCAGTCGAGATGTCTTTGGGGGCCGAACGCGATCGTCTTCTTGCCTGCCTCCTGGAGAGGTACGAGGCGCGTTAGCCTCTCAGAAGGTCGTGGGGGCCGCTTGCGGAGGTCGGATGTGTGCTGCAGTTACAGCAAACGGGGAGATCTTTGTATGGGGGGACGTAAGGACGGAGAGGACCCTTAGAGGCAACAAAACTGAGGGGGGAAAACCCCAACCTCACGAACCGCGTCTGGTGCCATTGCCAGCCGAGGAGGGGGGCCCCGCGAGGGCTGTAGCCGTTGCGTGCGGGGAAAGCCACTGTGTGGCGCTTAGCGCAAGGGGTTTTGTGTACACCTGGGGGAGCAACTTCTATGGACAATTGGGCCTCGGAGGGGGCCCCCGCACCGTGGAGGGGCCCCAGCTCGTCTCGGCTTTGAAGGACGAGCACGTGGCTTCCGTCGCTTGTGGAGCTCAGCACAGTTTGTGTTTAACACAGGACGGGAAGGTGTTTGTGTGGGGATACGGCAAAGACGGGCAGTGCGCAGAACCAACTCACCTAGACGTCCCACTACCCCTCCAGGTGGACTTTGGGGGCCCCGAGGGGACGCATTCAGCAGGCCGTTGCACCCAGATAAGCGGGGGGGAGGGGCACAGTCTCGCGCTGTGCGGGAAAGGGAAGATATTCGTCTGGGGACGTGGCCGAGAAGGCCAACTTGGCAGAGGGGGGCTCGTGGAGAGCCCCGCAGCGTCACGGGACGCCCCAGTTGAGGTTACTTTAGGGGATGGAGAACAAGTTGTTTTAGCTGCATGCGGGGGGTGCCACACTCTTGCAGCAACAAAGCCGTCAAGTGAGTAACTAGAAGCCTCCGGTATGTGGTGGGCATGCAGATGCACTCTTGCAAGCGGCAGATGCTGCGGTGTTCGCTGGGGCACCAACGCTGCCTGGTGTCCTCTGTTGTATATCTAACCCCTTTTGTGCCTTGGGGCACTTCTGGCATATGCCACAGCGAACAGACAGTGAGAGCGGACTCTTCCCGCCGTACTACGGCGATGCAATAGGGCAGACACAGCTAGTCGATGTAGACAGGGGAATACTCCAGTTCTGGGTATGTATGCCCGGTAAGGTACCGACCACAAGACGCTTTGGTGCCGCCTTACCGTTCGGGGGGCTCGGCTATCTAGTAAAGGCTGCCGATCAATGTATACAGACACTGGAAGTAGCCTAGCTCTTAAGGGGAAGTGAGAGTCAAACAAAAAGAGGCAGTTCTTATGTGATGTACCAATCCAACACAAGGAGAACCCTTAGGAGGGTTCCCTAGAATGCCCCACTAGGCAGCCGACAAATGCCACATTTTGCCGGAAGGTCCCAAACCCTACAATGCGTGGACCCCCCCTTATCCATGAACTTTAGTGGGTGCGAGGGGGGGGGTGGGACGGGGTCC